GACACTATAGACACGAGCCACCACTGGGCCAAAAAATGTGCATATTATCTTAACAAGTACTCTTATTTCTAATACTCTGCCTTATGGAAACACACAATGCAAAAGAATAGATACTTAAGGCTATTCCTGAAATATTTCTATGGAATGGGGAAAAGAGAGACCTTAAGATACTCATCATTAGAGGAATTACCAAAAAAAGTAACACCCAACTATAATATGATTATGTTGGGTATTAAAAAATGAGGCAAGGTAATTACAAAGAGAATGTCTGAAGTATTTGCATAAAAAGTGCAAGTTGTATAACATGGTCTTTTCAATAAATTGTGCTGGGTCACTTGGATATATGTATTGAAAATGAGTTTTGGCCTCTATCTTATAACAGTCATAAAATAAAATAAATCCATGGCACAATATATATCTAAAAGTGAAGACAACAGAAGAGTATCCTGATGACCTTTGGATAAGCACAATATTCTTAAACAAGATACAAAAAGCTCTAACCATAAAGGAAAAACTATATAAACTAGCTTGACTAAAATTAAGGATTTCTGTTCATTACAAACCACCGTTAAGATCATTAAAAAGAAATCTGTAGAAAAGTTATTAGCAATATATATTTCTGACAAAAACCCTCACATACAGCATGTATTTTTTAAATGCAAAAACATAGGTATTACCAAACAGAAAAACAGGCAAAAGACTTGAACAGGAACTTTAAAAAGACAGTATCCAAACAACCAATAAACACATAAAATGATGTACCACTTCATTAGTCATTAGAGAAAGGTAAAATAAAACTATAATGCACTATTTCTAGGTACTCTTCAGAGCAGCTAAACTGAAAAACAGCTGGCAATGTAGCTCAGGTGCAGAGTGTATACTTAATATGCATGAGGCCTTGTGTCCAGTCCCCAGCAACATGAAGAAAGGAAGAGAAAAAGAGAATGAAAGAACACAGAGAGAGGGACTAGGAAGGAGGGACAAAGGATGAAAGGAAAGGGCCAAGGGTTGTAAAGAATATAAGAGTCAGGTACCGGTGGCTCATGCCTATAATCTTAGCTACTCAGGAGGCAGAGATCAGGAGGATCATGGTTCGAAGTCAGCCCAGGGAAATAGATCGCAAGACCCTATCTCGAAAAAACCCATCACAAATAAAAAGGGCGGGTGGAGCGTCACAAGGAGTAGGCCCTGAGTTCAAGCCCCAGTACCTCAAAAAAAAAAAGAATGTGAACTTTCATATACTGCTTATGGGAATGTAAATGGTACAATCATCTTAGAAAACTATCTGAAAGTAAACTACAAAGCTTAATATAAAAACAACCAGAATTTCCACTCCTAGGTATATACACAATGGAAGCATATATATGCACACGCCAAAAGACAAGTACAGGTCTTTAGTAAACATATAAATGTTATTTAAATATAAATTTAGTAATTATATTTAAATATATATTTCATTCATATTTATTTCCTATATATTAAATCTGAAAATATGTAAGTCTTCATTAATCATAGACAGGTTTATTTTAATTTAGTCATACCATATAAAACTGCATAGCCATGAGAATGAGCCAACTTCAGTTAACTGCAATAACAGCTGTCTCCAAAACATGTTAAACAAAAGACAGAAACAAAGAGAATATATGTCAACTTTTTATACTTCAGAACCAGGTTATCAGGATCAATAGTGGTTTCCATTAGGGCTCTGGGCAGTGGCTTCAAAGGGGTTTCAAGAGAGTTCCTGGTCCCTGGTAATCTTGACCTGGGTCTGAATACGTGGTCACATTCACTTTGTGAAAATGCACTTTTCAGCACTAATGTCGGTGTGATCAAAGATTTACTTTAAAAAAATGAGTAACAATATCAAGGAATTTTTGAAAAGCACATTTATTAGTAACTAAAACACTATTATGATCCATTAAATAAAGTCAGTAAACAAGCATATATGGAGTCCCTACTATGAGTCAAGAATGACACAGAACAAATTATATATGAAGCAATGTTTACTCTTGAGCCTTATGGAGTTCACCAATGAAATTTTCAAAGAGGAAGAAAGGAATGAAGAAAGGAGAGGAAGGAAGGAGGGTGGCTGGGTCTAAAACATTAAAGAGTAATAGTGCATTTTCATGGCAGCATAAACTGATGTGTTTTTTTTCACAAGAAATTTGGCACTTCATACAATAGTCTTTAAAAATATCCATTAGGTCAATGAATTATTTAAAATAGGACACAAATCATATACTAGCATGACAATTATGTAAAAAGTCTCATGCATCGAAAAAAATGAAAATATATCAGAATGGTTTTGATTCATTTTTTTGAAAAGATCTTTAATGAAGGCAAATTGTTTTTAAAAAATCATATTTTGCAACCAAATATCAAAATGCATTTAATATATTAGATACTTTTCTGTATCTTTCAGGGTTTTTTAGATATGTACATTTCAAAAGAAAGTCTAATCAAAAAGTGAATCCTGTTTAAAAATAAATCAATAGACCTTTTCCTTTATGACAGTCTAAATGTTTGCCCTACATAGTTGTGAAAAATAAGCCCTACATAGTTGTGCAAAATATTTTATGTGTTTAAAATCCCACAAAGTAAACATGTGACACAGATTTTTCTGTAAGATGATTTTAAAACT